GAATATTTCTTTTTTTTTTTTTTCCTGAATAATACCTTCCTTCACATTGATGTGATTAATGCCTCTAGCTTTCTGTTTCCAAGTGGGTCTCTTAGAACCACCCTGCTGTATAGCTTGGGAGGAGACTTCAGAAAGTTGGAGAGTTACTGTCACAATCTGATAAAGAGGAGCTTGTTGCCAATCTTGAGCCATGACATCCTCAGTTAAAGCATTTGATTCTGGGAGAGAATCTTGGGTTGATCCGTTATTGGCAGAGATAATTAGAGAATTAATGGATGAAATATTCTCCGCATCTTCTTTGGAAAGTTGACCTGGCAGGCCATCTCTACCATATAACGTATCCGTTATAGAGACAGTTTGAATGCTATTACTACCTTCCTTTATTATTACCTGAAAATCAGCCTCCGAATCTGTCTGATCTGAGTTTACATCTGTGCCCCTTGTATCTCCGACAGCAGCCGTGGGAGGTGAAAGACAATGCTCTGTGCTTCGATTTGTTGAGCCACCATAGCATTTGGATTCTTTAGAATAGAACTTTGATGAACTGGCTCGCAGCCAAGGCCCGAATTGATTACTGGATTCTTCAGTCTGTCTAATGGAAGAGCAACCTCTATTCTTGTGTTTAAGAACTCCATATTTAAAACAGAAATTCTGTAATCGTTCATACTTGAAAGCAATCCAATACTTTTGCTCCCCAATCCTTAATATCCTTCCTCTAACCAGAGGTTTGGTAAGTTCAACCTCTACTTTCACCCTCAGAAAACTTCCCTAGCCCAAACCATTCTCGCCAACATCCACTTCAAGAACTTGCCAATTGTAGACGCTAGTTGGACTCCATAAACGTTATTCATGGCCGCAAAAGGCATATTATGAAGTTGAACCCAGAAAGGTTCAGAAATAAAACAGCTAGCATTAGAAGGAGTGCTACTATCGACTCGTTGAATAGCGATCAAAGCCCTATCAAAAGTCCACGGTCAACCGTTGAGGACTTTCTGCAGATCAGAGATATTTTGAAATTCTAGCAAAAATAATTTCTCACCAGCATCTGTAAAATGGATCCAGCCATCCAGTTTCCAAACTTGAGAGATGGTGGATCGAAATGCTTCTCTGCTGTAATTTTTCTTCGTGACAAGGAGAGCCAGAAGGTAGTGTTTGACTTTGGCGGCCGCATCTTCGATCGTCTTGTTGGAAACGACAACATCATTTTCTTCTTCTTCAGTTAAGGAAAAACTATCCCATAACGACGTTAATGTAGACTCAGCCATGCATGCGCTCCACAGTAAACACTAAATGACAAAACTCTCTGTTAGAACAAAGAGACACACCTAACTCTAGAGAGAAGGACCCTTCCTGAAAGGTGGACAACATTTCTAGATGCTTTCTTGAAGAAGTAGAGTTACAATTTTCAATCATTTCAGATGCTGCAAAGAATGATAAGAATACTTTATTATATTTGAAGTTATAAAATACTAATAAATAGAAAATAAATAAAGAATTCTTACCTTATAATTGAAAAAACAAAACACTAATTACTAGTTAGAGTTGGGGTATTTTTATGGGCATATATGTAAATTTATTATTTTTAAAAACTGTTAGAACGCCTAGAAAATAAACTCCCAAGTATAAGTTGGGTGTTTTAAAAACCGCTACTAAAAACCCCTCAAAACCGCTACGATGGTTTACCTTCAAAACCGCTACAGTGGTTTACCCTCATAACCGCTACCATGAAACTCCCAAGCGAACCCTAAAGATTCCCAGTAATCTTCAAGGTAATCTAATTTTCCGGTAATTCAATATTTCCTGAACCAAATGCCCCTTTAATACCATCCTTATTTCATTTTAAGTAGCCTAATCCCGCATCATCACAACTTTTTATTTTATTTTTTAAAAATCTGAAATATATTTTCATTTTTATTTTTCTTTTATCTTATTAACAGGGTATACCAACAAAAGAGCTCCTAGTTATTATTATTATAAAATATATTTTTTCCTCTTTTAACCTTATTTATTTTAATGTATTTTAAAATTTGTAGAATTAGCTATACTAGTTTCTAAAACTATAAATGATATGTGTTTGGTTATATTCGTTTTCCAAAAACTAACCATAAAACTAACTTTTGAGATTAATGGATAAATGATAGTTTCATGGACATATGTTACTTTAATAGCACAACATATGTGACATGGTAATAGATATCTAATATTTCTCTAAACAACAGTATAATTATTATTTTGAATCCTAAAACATTTTTGTTATCAATCAAACACATAAAATTAACACAAAAATATCTTGCATATGCTGTATATGCAGATTTGATAACGAAATTTAATGTACTAAAAGTCAATTTAACATTAAAGATGTACTTCTCTGACTAGCCCCCACTAAAAGAAAATTCAGGCTTCGTCACCCAGACTGTTACATTATTCTTAAGTTTATAATCTTTATATTATAGCCCGACTCAGTCAATGGGAAATTTGGTCAAAGTAAAACAACAAATAAGTGGTTGATACATAATTTTGATACCGATGATTACGTACATATAAAATGTTATGAAGTTGTAGGTGAGGTGATTATAAGAAGTGTTTTATGGTACAGTGATATATATGTTTGTTAATACGTAAATAATAAATTAACAAGGAAGATTTTTAGAATAGTTCGACTGCTATAAGCAATTCCTAAGACATTATGATTGTATTGCCGTTTATTTTGTGATCACTAGGAAAGATTACAAAGATAATGATCTCTCGTGGTTACAAGTGTTTAAAGTATTCTAAGAAAACGACTAACCAATCTTTTTGTAATAGTATGTTTTTGCTACTTTTACTGTGAAACAAGTGTGTAAAAATCGATAATTGATCCCGTTTTTAAGAGTGGAGTTGCTATTTATACTTTTTTCAGCTCAAGATAATAAAGGTTTTTGCAAGTTGTATTGTTTGATGAAGATTTTCTTTCCTTCTGATTTGTTGGGGACTTTTATCAATATTCTTACTTTAATGAAATTGCGACAGTTGTAAATGTAAAATATCCTTCTAAGTTGGTTTAGAGATCAGACAACTAACATACTTTATTTTCGTGCACTTGGTGAATCCTGGTTGGTGGAGATGCATGCCCAAGCTAATTGGTAGAGACGTCTGGAGAGTCTTGATTGGCGGAGATGATGTCACTATATAATTTAGGCATAACATAAGTAAACGGAATTCGATCCTATATCACGAATATCAAAATAATTATGAACTTTGATGCACATGCTGTCTAGCAATTCAAAAGTGCAATTGACAAAACTGCCTTATGACATAGCATCATTCCGTTTAAGGATTCTGTTCACACCGGAGTTTTAATTTTATACCTTTTAAATAATGTATAAGCCACTGTTTCTTTATTTAAAATTCTTGACATTTGCACATGTAATATAACTCTTGCAATTTATTTTTACTTCATTTTACTAGTGTATTCTTTATTTTTCTAAAGAATAAAATTAATTAACAAAAAATTAGTTTTTGAAGTTATTCAATATCTCTTTTATTGATATAGAATTTAAATACACTTTTTTTTATAAAATCTATTAATATATAAATACTTTTTATATTCCTCTAATAATAACATTATATCATATTTCTCTGATTTGTTATTCTACGTAGCCTGTCATTTTTCTTTCATCTCTTTGACTTTATTTTCATCATTTTCTAACTCTCCAGGTATGCTTTGCTTATATATTCAGTGTTTGAAAACAATTTTTAAATATTATATCAAACATATTTTTAAAAATTAAAAATAATTGAGAATACAATTCAAATATTTTGATTTTAACCTTGCTTTTTTGAAAACTTTTTTTAAATCACAAATCAAAAGAAAGCCTAAAGGATTACGTTTACTAGTGTTTAAACTGCATGGTTGTACCTAAATTTGACCTCCCGTGTTAAGGAAAATTCGCCCTCCTTGTCTGAAATTTTTCCTTCGAAAATTATTACTTCTTTCTCCAGTTTCTTCATCCAATTAAGTCCAGCTAGCAGCTCAGTATTCCAGAAAAAATAATAATAATTAGATTTCTGTTAAAAGAGGATACTGACTTTTACTATTATATCTTAGTGCGCAAGTTCTTACAAGGCAAAGCAAAAAGTTCAAGTTTATCTTATGATTCTCAGTCGTCTTCTTCATTCTTTTCTATTTAATTATTTTGCGATATCAAGAAAATATCTCCACAACAACCAAGTTTTTATATAAAATTGTTATTTTGAAGGAGTGAAATGTTGAACCCGTTGAAGAAATAATGCCCCCGAGAGTTGGTATCGCCAATAAATGCAGGAATTCGGAAGTTGACAACAAGCTGGAGGCTGGTACGGTCTCATTTGGCTTGTTTTTTGAGAAAATCATTCAAAGCCGTGACATCAGGCCAAATGAGAATTCATTCATCGCGTTTGACTGACGCCTGAAGTTGATTTGATCAACTTTCACAACGGGTTCGAAAGCGATTTAATGAAAAATTTAATTACTTAAAATTCCGAATTTCTTACTAAAAAATTCATCAACTTGCACATGTGGAGATGACAACTATCATATTAAACTAAAATTAGAAAAGCCAAAAACAGTCTGTCTTCTATAATTCTATTCTTTTTCAAGTTTGGCTTCTTTATGAAAGCTCTTATTCAAACGTTATTAGCAATAAAAAAGTAATAATATTATACTTATAAACATTTTTTATTAACTTTCTTTCACAAATAATAGATTAACGTTTGTGAGAGAAAGTTGTGAAAAAAGTTTATTAACTTATCTTTATTTATAAAAAAAAAAAAAAAAAGTCATGAAAGAATTTTTAATTAGTTAAGATATATTAATCACATATGTCTACCAGTTTTGCGGTAGCTGAAGACTAAAATTCCCGATTCCAATTCCAATTCCAACTTCAATTATCTTTTGTCCCCTGTCCCCACAAGCAAGTAGGTGAATACGATAGCTACATGCAACGGCCCTCAGCCATTTGTGTATATATATATGTGTGCATATGGTTTCATCCCTGACCCAGAACTAACGAAACTTATCACTTGACTCTCTCTGGTATTGTGTTTGAATACCGAGAAAGAGCAAGGAAAAGACAAAAGAGACTAAAAGAGTAACATAATGGCTGTAGGAGGTTTCGCTGTCGATGGATCCTCCAATTTTAATGGGAGGATCACACTCTCAGTTGTTCTCACCTGCATCGTCGCTGCATCAAGTGGCCTCATATTCGGCTTTGACATCGGAATTTCAGGTCTGTTTCATTTCGTCCTAGGCTTATTTGTTTATTAAATTTTATTTATCATAGCAAAATTTGCCTGGCACCATTTATTAAGGAAATAGAAGTTCCAGATAATTTTCTCTGAAAAAATAAACCAAGCGATTGTCTTGCCGTTGAAGAAAATAGTTCAGCAGCCATAACAGACCTTCTTCAAGACAACGATCGAAATAGTTTGGTTTTAATTTTATTTTTTTTTTTTTTTGACGTTCTATAGGAAGAGTGAGTAACATATTAGTCCTTCAAGTTTGGTCAAAATAAAGTCGGTCTTCAAGTTTCAAAAAGTGAAATTTAATCCATAAAAGGATAGTGTATTTGCTCCTTCTCATCGTAATCTATTATATACTTTGTCCAAATTATGTCAAAAGATTTAAATAACAAATTTTGAGTACAAGGAAATACATAACCTTTCAAACAAATAATCTCATATCTTAAAAGAACATATAAATTGTAGAACCCAAGATTTTTTCGTTATAGATGGACATTAGAAGTACGAAAATTTTAACTTTAAAGATTGATATATTTCATGTCCAAGAAAAAGTTAAACAATATTTAAATACATATAGAGATGATATAAAATTGAAATGCTTAAAAGAAAATTAAAAAAGAAAAAAAAAGGCAACGAAATTAAGTTTTTTAATAGAGGCACAACTTATAAGACTAAATCAAAGGTGATAATAATTAAGTTCCAATTTTAGGGGGGGCACGGAAGTACATATTTATACGTACACTCATACAGTACTACTAGTACTAACCCATAAGTTTAGGATCAAAAATCAGACATTAAATCTGAGGACTGATTACTTTCAGCAAACTTCAAAGGCTTAACTACTATCCCTAAGTTTTGGATCAAACATCACATTTAAAAATATGAGGACTGAGCTGATTTTCACTAAACTTCAAAGTTTTTAACTTAGGTAGAATGTTGACAGGTGTTTTTTTAAAAATAATCTTCGTGGGTTGGATCGTTTGGTAGTGAGCTATAAGCCTAAACATGCGGCCAGCGTTTTGGTTTGATTAGGATTTGGATTCTGTCGTTTATTGTTTATCTACTGATATTACAATAAAAGCATAATTGAAATATATACTCTCGACGTTGACTGGTAGAACGATTATGTGCTGTGCTAAGCTAAATCCAAAATTAGATAGAGTTAAATAATTATTATTGGTATGGGATTAGAAGGAATATTGAAGGAGAAATATATAATAAATTTTTGATGCTGTTAAAACTAAAAGTCAAATCCGGTATTCGGTCGTTTTCAGCACTCATTTTGTAATTGAATGATAGTAGTGACAGCGTTGACATAGTTGTCATTCTCTTATTTAAAGTCTTTGAATAAATAAAATCTTTAATTGTTGTTTATACGTAATTACACGTAATAATTAGAGGTTTGGAGTGGTTATGGAAAAGTTGTGGATATCCTATTCCTACCCAACCTGGGTATGCTTTTAAATTAATAATCTATATATGGGCTTTGCCGTTGCAAGTTTTAACACCATACCTTATAGGTGATTATTAATGATTTCTGAAATCTAGATCATCAATTGAGCTATACACTCCATTTGGATAATGCTCCGAAAATATGCTTGTATTTTCTATAATGAACTTGATCCAAATCTCCATCTTGATATACAGTGTTAGAAAGAAGAATCATAGTCCACTCATCAAAGTCAATTTCAAGAACATAAGAATACGATGATTGCTATATTTTTTCTCTTGCAAAAGCTAACACATTACTTGCTATGATGGTCACAATGAACAGAGGTGTAACGACAATGGCGCCATTTCTGCAGAAATTTTTCCCATCAGTATTGAGGAAAATGGCAGAGGCTAAAACAAATATGTATTGTATGTATGACAGCCAGGTTTTAACTCTGTTTACATCATCACTCTACGTAGCAGCTTAGCCTCGTCTCTTGTGCTAGCCGCCTAACGGCAGCAATAGGCCGCCGAAACATAATGGTGCTTGTGTGGCATCACTTTCCTTGCTGGTGCTGGCATCAATGGTGGGGCCGAAAATAGTCATGCTCATCTTAGGCCGTATCTTGCTTGGATTTGGTGTTGGTTTCACTAATCAGGTCCATGACACTCTCATTTAACTCAGGCTATATCATATTAATTCAATTTGAAACGTGCTTATTAAGAAACTTGTATGGTTTGTATAGTTTTTCTAACAGCATTAAAACGTTAAAATAGGCAACTCCTATATACCTCTCAGAGGTGCACCTTCCAAATGGCGTGGCGCCTTCAATACGGCTTCCAGTTTTTCATGGGCATTGGTGTGGTCGTATCCAATTGCTAATTTTGGCACAGCTAAACTCAGCTGGGGCTGGCGCCTCTCACTGGGGCTTGCTGGGGTACCCGCTGCTGTCATGACAATAGGTGCCCTTTTCATAACTGCAGTCCCAGTAGCTTAGTGGAACGAGGCAAAGTCGAGAAAGCTAGGAGTTCTCTACAGAAAGTTCGAGGGAAAGACGTCGATGTGGAAGCTGAGCTAGATGATTATGAAGTCCAGTGAAATTGCCAAAGCTTCGGCTGACGAATCTTTCCTGACCATATTTGAGAGAAGTACAGACCTCACCTAATTATGGCAATTGCCATACCGTCTTTTCAACAGCTGACTGGCATTAACATTATTGCATTCTATGCTCCGCAACTTTTCCAATCATTTGGTTTTGGAAGTGATTCAGCTTTAATAGCATCTATCATACTGGGACTGGTTAATCTTGGCTCCATTCTTGTGTCTACGGGTGTGGTTGACCGCTATGGTCGAAGATCCTTGTTCCTGGTGGGCGGGGTTTTAATGTTTGTTTGTCAGGTACGCATCTAATTATCTCATCATAACTCTCAGTTAGTATCATTTCTGCATTATATTTCTAAGATACGTTGGGCCAGAGAGTTTAGGCCTCGGTCTAAGCCCAATAACTGGTTCAAGAAGAATGGGCCTAGATTAAGTAAAATGGGCAGGGTTGATACATTATAATCTTTTAATTTGGTTTTTGTTGGCATTTATTGTGCAGATTGCTGTTTCTTTCGTGCTAGCGTATGCATCAGGTGTTGCAGGCAACAAGGAAATGAGCAGGGGATATGCCGTATTAGTACTCGCACTAATGTGCGTCTATGCCGCTGGTTTTGGTTGGTCCTGGGGTCCTCTAGCCGGCTCATTCCAAGTGAAATATTTCCGATCAAAATTAGAGCCACTGGTCAAAGCATAGCTGTTGCTATGAATTTCGCATAACGTTTGTGCTATCACAGACATTCTTGACTATGCTATGCCATTTCAATTCGGCACATTCTTGTTCTATGCTGGTTGGATTGGGATAATGACCTTATTTATTGCATTTTTCTTGCCTGAGACAAAGGGTATTCACTGGATTCAATGTATGCTGTGTGGGAGAGGCATTGGTTTTGGCGCCGTTTTGTTAAAGACTAAACCCCAACACCAACTCTACATCATCAACAGATATTATATAGTTCTCATTCAATAAGTCTTAAAGAGTCAAAAATATATCTGTTTATAGTGGCTCTGACCTTTGTTCTTGTTTTCCCACTACATTATGTCTAGTGTCTACCAAGTACCTAAGATTTATGTAATTTCCATTAAGTGCTTCTATATTGTGATGTAAAAACACAATTTGGATATTTCTTCCAACAGTTGTCGTGTTTGCAGAATCTCGGATACATTGAACTAGCTTTATATGTTATGGTCTATCTACGTTTATTGTTTCTCTGATAAAATGATGCGAAATCAACGCAGCTTCACTTTTATTTGTTAATTGAGGAACATTACATATTTATCCACAATTCTTCAACCTCACACAAACATATTGGAAAAACTGAGTTTATATATATATATATTTTGGTAACTCGGGTGTCAGGATCAGTTTACACGTATCTCAACTAATCCTCTTAACCTCATAACCAAATAAGTCATGATAAGTGGCATTAAGGTTTAAACCTAAAATCTCAATAAAGGAATAAACCTTCTTGACCACTAAGTCAATCCCTTGGGTTAACTCGAGTTTATATTTACATCAACGATTAACCAAGCAAAGGCCAACTATAGAATGTAGATGTTGAATTCCAAATTCCAACAACGATTAATGTGGTTTCCTTTTTGAAATCAATCAATCAATATATATATATTACACACACATTAGGGTGTCAAGACTAATCCTCGAGGTCTATTGAATACCTTACAAATCTAAATGACCAAGTAAATTAAAAGTAGTTGGTGAAACCTAAGACCTCAATGAAGGAAGTAACCTCCTTAACTACTAATTCAATCCTTGGGGTTAACAAGTTTATATTACATCAGCATTAGCCAGCGAAGGCAGACTAAAGAGTTGTAGAATGTTGAATTCTTATATTTACATCACATTAGCCAAGCGAGGCAGACTAAAGAATTGTAGAATGTTGAATTCCAATTCCAACGTTAATGTGGTTTCCTCTCTGAAAATCAATTATGTGGACACTTAAAAGGACGGTTACCAAAACTAATTAATATAGTGGAAGATGAAGGTGCCAAAGAATTTCATTTAATCCCAACCATACCACCTAACTTTTGGTCGCTCTCTTTTTCCTACAGCTTCTAACCAAAGCTTTTGTTCCCCTTTGTTAATGTGAAATATGTTAATTTCACAATTGTAGTCTCTTAATGACAAAAATATCCTCTGTTATCTTGTTCATCCTCCTATAATTTTGCTGCATTTAACACTGATGTGGATTTGTTTGAGTGTTAGTAATAAATCACAGGCCTTGGAATTAAATGCTCTGTCGAATTAGCATAAAAAGACTTTGTACTGTCGGGTTCTTAGCATACTCCAGCGACCAAATGAATTCTCTTTAATGGATTATTTTGATTTTACTGGATGAATACCTAAGCATATGATACATATATTTATGTGGGTTCACATGATGAAAGTTGATTTGTATAGTGGCAACCACAAAGCTAGGTGAAATATGAGATTGCTGACTGTCTTAAATGAATTGGGCATTTAAACCAAAAATACATTAATATGAAGCTTTGACTTTGACCTAAATACATTGCACTCATGGTAATTCTTTCTACCCATTAACAAATTCAGTTTCATTGAGTCCCCAGTCCGTTCATTTTAAGAATGATCGTTAATACAGTAATGTTAAAGCAAGTCGATGATATAAAGGATTGGTTAAGTGGTTAGAAGGTTTGTTTCCTTTATTGACTTCCTAGTTTCAAACCATCTTGAGCCATGTATCACAGTTGTGGTTTACTTGATTCATTGGACTTATAGAGTTTTAATGAGCTATGAAGATTAGTTGAAATACATGTAAACTGATTTAAACACCCAAATTCTCAATTTAAAAAAAAAAAAAAAAAATTCAGATAGAATGTACAAGGCATAAACTACTTGTGAATTTGAGGACAAGTTTTGGCCCACTTTCAATCTCTCAAAAGGTAGCCGCCCGAACGGACCATAAATGGCTTGTGCAAGGCCACAACTTGTGCATACCCAGATTTACCGAACGATAAGTTGGTACCCAAAGGTTTTGAAACGACAAATAGGTACTTTCCGTCATGTTCTGTTACTGATTCTGTTTATTATAGTAAAAAGACTAAAATGCCCTTCAAAGTTTCAATTTTAGTTTTTTATAAATTTAAAAATATCTAAAAAACCCCCTAAGTTTGCTAATTTAATTAAACACCCCATATATAAAAGTTTGTTAAAATAACAAAACCCCCCAGTGCCAGATTCCGGCCACCATCGCCGAATCTGGCCGAAAACTACATTACGACACAGACCCTCGGTGTTTGTCGTAACGTGCCGATCTGGCCTTTTCCGTTCAGATCCGCCACGGATTTGGCCGAAAGGCAAGATCTGCCCGTCGAAGCAACAGCCAGATCTGGCCTTTTCCGGCCGATCCGTGGCTGATCTGGCCTGAAAGGGCCAGATCTACTGCCAGATCTAGCCGTCGACGCCGCAGATGGAGTTTTGCGGCGTCGGCGGTGGTGGCCGGAATCTGGCACTGCAGGTGGCGGGGGTGTTTTTGTTATTTTATAAAATTTTTATACATTGAGGTATTTAGTTAAATTTGTAAACTTAGGGGGTTTTTTAGAAATTTTTAAATTTATAAAAACCTAAAATTCAAACTTTTAAGGGCATTTTAGTCTTTTTACTATTAATAAACAGTAATAAACAGAAACCACTAACAGAACATGACAGAAGGTATCTATTTGTCGTTTTAAAACCTTTTGGATATCAACTTATCGTTACGATAAATCTTGGGTACCTGTAAGTCGTTCTCCCCTTGATGCAAATATGAATAATTTATAAATAGTTGTTATTTCATGAAATTTGATGTCTTATGATATAATTCATTGTTATTGAAAACATAGCAGCCTAGTTTTGCATGCATTGGTTATTGACATTTACGTTTGACCAATCACTACGGCCATTTATTAAGGCCTGATAAGTGATATACTCATTAAATGCTACTAATTATTATATAATTAACCGATAAACAATCAATCCATGGACCCACTCCCATTCTTTAATATTCAACACCACTACAAGTTTTATTTCCTAGCACGTCTTTTGAATTCAATTAACCAACCCAAACCCATGCCCACACAAGATTTGATTTATTAGAGGAATTGAAAGGATTATATAAATGAGCAATTAAAATGGAGCACCAACCAAACTGTCATCTGTCTGTAATATCTGTTTAGCTACAATTTTTTTTTTTTTTTTCTGGTAATTGAGGTGTTGGGATTAGTTTGTGTACACTTCAACTAATCTTTGAGATCCATTAAACACCTATATTATTTTCTACATAAATTAATGTTGGACCATAGGTTTTACTTACATGTCAAAATAATTGAATTATGGCATTTAATCCAGTGAATTTCTCTACATATAATATGATTACATTTTTTTGTATTAACATGTATCCTACTTTTTCAAATAAAAGTATGAAAATAGCATTCTGATCGCAAATATAAGGAAAAAAATAAAAGTAAACAAATACTACGGCCAACCAACAGTGATTGTGAAGTGGCTGGTCAGGTACTCTCTGGTTTAAGTTTATCCAGAAAGGTAGGACTAGGACCCCCTTATAAATCTTTTACATCAAAATAAGATGAAGATGAAGATCCCACAAACATAACTCTACAACCTTCGTCAAATTAATTGTATATGAATCGGTTGGTCATATTTATTATCCATATAATATTATAAATTGACATTAAAATAATGAACATCCTTAATGTTCAAATCTCAGAAGCGCATGATATTTAGTTTTGATAGAATTCTAGGTAGATTCTGACGGTTACTCACCACAAATATAGTATAAGGGATGGAAGAGAGAAGAAAAGGAAGCATAAATGAAGGGAAGGAGAGGTGGTTTGAAAGCATTTAAACAGAAGAGAAGCGGGTGGAGAGACGAAGAAAGCAAGGTGGTTTCAATACTCGTCTTTGAATTCAGCATTTAAGTGAATTGAAGATGAGTTAATGAAGGCAGGTAGACTACTTACTTGAATTTCCTTTTCTCTCTCAATGCCTTTAATGGCTTTACTCCCTTTTTTAGTCTTTTTTTTTTTTCTAACTGACTTACCCATTTACTTTCTACCTTACAAAAATACCCTTGCTTGGAAACCAACTTAATTTCTTTTCACTGTTTTCTTATGTTAATTTCATGTAGCTGCTTAGTCTATTTAGGGTCCCTCTCCAATTTATATTTTGGTTGGTGAAATTTAGCAAACGACAGCGTTCCTCCATCTCTAGATCTTTTCTCAAAAATAGATTTTTTTCTATGAAATCTTCTGAGTTACATGTACATAAACTTGATATATATCTAACATTTTTCAAGTAATATTATAATGGAAGCTTACATAATTAGATGATTCAGGGGTCCACTAAGTTGATGTGGGTATTTTGGGAAATGAAGTGCAATTTACAAATAAAAATAAAGAGAAATATACATGGGGGAAAGGGCTGAGACAGAGAGAGTAATAAATTAGAGGGGATGAGGCATAACATTAGTTGTTTTCATAGCTGAAGGGTGTTGAGAGCTTTAAAGGCTTGAGTAATAGGTGTGATTAATTGATATAGCTCATGGGATGGATGTGGGTTATTGCATGTATGTAGCTGAGGGCCGGGGGGTGTTGAGCCTTAAAAGTTCTGTAATAAGTGTTTTTTTTTTGGAGTGACCCAATTGTGGAAGTTGAATTTATTATCTGATAAAGATCGTATAGGCAATCAAGTCCTTCAACCGTATAAACACTCCCAACATTTATTGATCCTTCTACACACCTTTCCCTCTCCCTCTCCTCAGCTCTCACCGCCTCTATTAACTACTAAACTACTACCATGTTTGGCTCTGGCTTTGGCTTTGGCTTTGGCTTTGGCTTACCTCATAATTTTTTTGAGTTGAGTTTTGTTAATATGTAGATCAATTTGTTTGTGTTTGATTTTGACCAAATAGTGAGTTGGTTAAGATTTCACATCTAAGCTTTTAAGAGAGCCGCTTCGAATTTTGTTGTTCTAATTAAATCCGCCAGCCTACTTGGAATGCACGTCATGCCTATGTACTAGTCCCTTGGTTAAATTTAGTTCTATACCTTCAATGTAATTTCCCCTACTGTTGTTATGTGTGCCACACACAAAACTCAGCCTATATAACCAACCCAAACAATTCACCATTTCCTCACAGCCAGAGAGAAAGTAATAATTCTCATCTTCTTCATCATATCCCAAATTTAACAACTATGGTTTCTTTCCAAGCACCTATGTTTTCAGATAGTAGATCAAATCCCAACACTGAGTTTGATCATTTCTCAAAGCGGAAGAGGGAAGACGTCTTAGAAGGTGAAGAAACTTTCAACAAGCGATCAAAACCAATCTTTGATATGGATCTACACCTCGAGAATCCATTACCGTCGGAGTGGGAACGATGCTTGGATATTCAGGTATATATCAACCTTGATTATGTATATCTATATATTACTTTAAAGAAGTATGATCAGCTGGCTGCAGCCTAAGCTATAGACATAGCATCATAAATTAATCATTTTGATCTCTGTATGCAGTCAGGTCAGATACACTTTTATAATACAAGAACACATAAGAGGACATCTGGGGATCCAAGGAGAAGCCCTGAGTTGCCAAGTCCCGGTGGTGATATCATGAGCTTAGACCTTGAGCTAAACCTACCTTGCAATTCGAACAACAAATTGACAAGGCATAATTCTGGCAGCCCTTCACGGGATGCCTTGGGTGATAATCTTTCCATTGATATCAGCAGAGAAAAGAAGAAATCGCCAGGAGATCACTTAACGCGTTGTCCGTCATGGTTGGCGTTCGAAAGAGACGATGAACAAGAGATGGTGGCAACAGCATGCATGCGGTGCCACATGTTGGTGATGCTGTGCAAGTCGTCTCCTACATGCCCCAACTGCAAATTCATGCACCCATCAGACCAAAGCGCTCCAAAACTATTCAAGCAGAAGCTTGGCCTCTTATGCTAGCTATAGTATAGTTGTATGTTAATTTGGACCGAAATGAAAATCCAGTACCACGTGTTTTAACGTTTAATTTTTTGCTTACTTGAACAAGCTACCTCTCGTCATTTCAAGAGGGTTTCAGTTGGTTGATAATTCTCACACGTCTATTGAGATATGACTGCTGACAGAGAGAAGAAGAGACGACTGACTTATTTAATGTTCTAATTAACTTATACATATAATGTATTTATTAAAGTGTCTTTATATTCCTAATAGTTTTGTCTAATACGTACGTTTAGCATTATTTTGGTAGATGAAAAGATGGCTGATCACGGAATTCCATTTCCCGGTTTCTGTTTACGAAGATTAGAAGCAGAACACAACTCATGCCTTATAAATGTGGAGATAACCATCAGAATAGCCTAAACTACAGGAAAGTCTTCGCCCTGATCGACTTCCGCGGTGGCTTGTTTGGGATCAATGAAACCAAAATTTGAGAACATCCTAGTTTCTGACTTTGATGTTCATTTCACACACGCTTTGTATTGTTAAATTATCAGGTCAATTTAATACATTAAGCCGATAGCCCCATGTATGGTAAACGCGTGCCCTTCCACATTACAGAACACAATAAGCTTGGGAAGATTGAATAGTAAAATGTTGCGCTCATTGATCATATCAATGGAAATTATTCATGTTAATTAGTTGAAAATTTGATTCAGGAAGGCCATTAATTAATCGGCTTTTTTATGGATTGAGCCCACGTTGCTACATGTCTACACTCTACAGTCACTTTTACTGTTAGAAGGTCAAGCAGCCCGGTTCCATGCGGCCTAAGTATTAAACTTGAAGAGCATATGCGAAAAATCTGAATTCTGGGATCTTGGTGCCTGAACTTAGGGGTCGTTTGATACCAATTAATGGGAAGACATAAATCATTAATTTACATGCATATATCGATAAAATGCAATCGCAGATTCTTTCATTAATTTCTTAGTACTTAATTAATGGTTTTCAGGAGTAGCTCAAGGGACAAATTATGACTCACTAACAAATATCATCAGGTACTCTTAAGTAGTAGTCAAACAAGGCACAGTTTCGGAAAAGCATAGTTCAGCTGCATTAATGATTCCATACGTTTTTAAGTGTTTAATTGATCCCTCTGGCTATGACTGTACATGAATAGAAGAGAATGCTCGAACAGTCATATATGAATGGTTATAGAAGGGGAAGTTTAAATGTCATTAATTTTCAAAGATAGCAAGAGTCTGGACTCCCAAGATAGGGCTCAACTGTAGAAAGTAAAAAGACTATAGAGATCGTGAAGTAGTACATCTTCATTTATTTCTCCTGTTCACAGGTACTCCCATCCTCTTTAAAACCACGTCTCTGTAACTTTGCTTCAGAGGTGGTAAGAATCTGAATTCTGCCATGCGAGAAATATGGTCTGATAACCGTTCAATTAAGGCAAGCCCAACAGGCATGCTCGGTTTGTCCGGAGGCTCCAACAAACCAACAACTTTCAATGTGTTCACTGAGAGAAACATAAAAACATTATAAGCCAACTATAAAAAGACTTGCCTTCCTTTAATATGCTGCTGATTACCGCGGCATTCAACAATTTCCATTTGAATAGGAAAGAAAAATCATTAGAGCAGAGAAAATCATAAAACTGAATTTACTTTGAATATATAATACCTCTGTATAGTATATAATCTACAGTGCATAATTTTGATGTGAACGAAGGCTCAAGATTCTCGCTGTCCATCTTATTATTCAATTGATGCTTCCCAATTCCTTCTGCTGTGAGTATAGATGCATATGCACTTTCCTGCAATTTGCAAACGAAAATTCTTCGTATTGACAAGAAAATTGATGAAAATGATAAAGAGTAACAACAACAAAAAAAGATATATGTTATATATAAGGCCCTGTGGCTGTGCATGTGATCATCACAATTCAAATTCAGAGGAGTTATAGATTAGTGGCTCTCATCTGTTTATGAGAAATTTGCAATTAAGGATTGATTTGCATTTGTTGAAAAATGATCTTACCAGAACCGAATCAAGTACTTCTTCACGTCTAAGTGGATCTTTATGAGCATTACTGTGAAGTTGAATCGTAGGGTCAGATCTTTATACACAAATAAATGCATACATGTAAATAATTCTAGATTAAAATCCACTGCATTTAGGACCCCCAATTTTCAAATTATCAGTAAATTGAGCGGCTTAATTTCTTATTTACCTTTTAACTCAGAGAGACCGGTCTACTTACTTAGAGGCACTTTTGCTTTAAAGCTCAAAAAAGTACTCAATAACTCTCAGTTAGTACATTTCTGCATTATAATTTCTAAGAACGTTGGGCCAAGAGAGTTTAGGCTCGGTCTAAGCCCAATAACTGGTTCAAGAAGAATGGGCCTAGATTAAGTAAAATGGGCAGGGGTTGATACATTATAATCTTTAATTTGGTTTTGTTGGCATTTATTGTGCAGATTGCTGTTTCTTTCGTGTTAGCGTATGCATCAGGTGTTGCAGGCAACAAGGAAATGAGCAGGGGATATGCCGTATTAGTACTCGCACTAATGTGCGTCTATGCCGCTGGTTTTGGTTGGTCCTGGGGTCCTCTGCCTGGCTCATTCAAGGGAAATATTTCCGATCAAAATTAGAGCACTGGTCAAAGCATAGCTGTTGCTGAATTTCGCAATAAGTTTGTGCTATCACAGACATTCTTGACTATGCTATGCCACTTCAAATTCGGCACATTCTTGTTCTATGCTGGTTGGATTGGGAAATGACCTTATTATTGCATTTTCTTGCCTGAGACAAAGGGTATTCCACTGGATTCAATGTATGCTGTGTGGGAGAGGCATTGGTTTTGGCGCCGTTTTGTTAAAGACTAAACCCCAACACCAACTCTACATCATCAACAGATATATATAGTTCAATTCAATAAGTCTTAAAGAGTCAAAAATATATCTGTTTATAGTGGCTCTGACCTTTGTTCTTGTTTTCCCACTACATTATGTAGTGTCTACCAAGTACCTAAGATTTATGAATTTCCATTAATGCTTCTATTTGTGATGTAAAAACACAATTTTGATATTTCTTCCAACAGTTGTCGTGTTTGACAGAATCTCCAGGATACAATGAACTAGCTTTATATGTTAATGGTCTATCTACAGTTTATTGTTTTCTTGATAAAAATGATGCGAAATCAACGCAGCTTCACTTTATTTGTTAATTGATGGAACATTACATATTATCCACAATTCTTCAACCTCACACAAACATATTGGAAAAACTTGAGTTTATATATATATATATATTTTGGTAACTCGGTGTCAGGATCAGTTACACGTATCTCAACTAATCCTCTATAAACTCAAATACCAAATAAGTCATGATAAGTGGCATTAAGGTTTAAACTAAATCTCAATAAAGGATAAACCTTCTGACCACTAAGTCAACCTTGGGGTTAACTCGAGTTTATTTACATCAACGATTAACCAACAAAGGCCAACATAGAATGTAGAATGTTGATTCCAAATTCCAACAACGATTAGTGGGTTTCCTTTTGAAATCAATCAATAATATATATATAATAACACACACATTAGGGTGTCAAGACTAATCCTCGAGGTCTATTGAATACCTTACAAATCTAAATGACCAAGAAATTAATAAAGTAGTTGGTGAAACCTAAGACCTCAATGAAGGAAGTAAACCTCCTTAACTATAAGTCAATCCCTTGGGGTTAACTAGAGTTTATATTTACATAGCATTAGCCCAGCGAAGGCAGATAAAGGTTGTAGAATGTTGAATTCTTATATTTACATCAGCATTAGCCAAGCGAAGGCAGACTAAAGAATGTAGAATGTGAATTCCAATTCCAACAACGATTAATGTGGGTTTCTCTCTGAAAATCAATTATGTGGAACACTTAAAGGACGGTTACCAAAACTAATTAATAATGTGGAAGATGAAGGTGCCAAAGAATTTCATTTAATCCCAACCCTACGCACCACTTTTGGGTCGCTCTCTTTTTCCTACAGCTTCATAACCAAAGCTTTTGTTCCCCAATTTGTTAAATGTGAAAATATGTTAATTTCACAATGTAGTCTCTTAAAGACAAAAATATCCTCTGTTATCTTGTTCATCCTCCTATAATTTGCTGCATTAACACATGATGTGGATTTGTTTGAGTGTAGTAAATAAATCACAAGGCCTTGGAATTAAATGCTCTGTCGAATTAGCAATAAAAAGACTTTGTACTGTCGGGTTCTTAGCATATCCAGCGACCAAAGTTCTCTTTAATGGATTATTTTGATTTTACTGGAATGAATACCTAAGCATATGATACATATTTATGTGGGTTCACATGATGAAAGTTGATTTTAGTAATAGGGCAACCACAAAAGCTAGGTGAAATATAGATTGCTGACTGTCTTAAATGAATTGGGCATTTAAACCAAAAATACATTAATATGAGCTTTGACTTTGACCTAAATACATTGCACTCATGGTAATTCTTTCTACCCATTAACAAATTCAGTTTCATTGAGTCCAGTCCGTTCATTTTAAAGAATGGATCGTTAATACAGTAATGTTAAAGCAAGTCGATGATATAAAGGATGGTTAAGTGGTTAAGAAGGTTTGTTTCCTTTATTGACTTCCTAGGTTCAAACCATCTTGGAGCCATGTATCACAGTTGGGTTACTTGATTCATTGGACTTATAGAGTGTTTAATGAGCTATGAAGATTAGTGAAATACATGTAAACTGATTTAAACACCCAAATTCTCTTAAAAAAAAAAAAAAAAAAATTCAATGATAGAAATGTACAAGGATAAACTACTTGGTGAATTTGAGGACAAGTTTTGGCCCACTTTCAATCTCTAAAAGGTAGCCGCCCGAACGGACCAAATGGCTTGATGCAAGGCCGAACAACGGCATACCCAAGATTTACCGTAACGATAAGTTGGTACCCAAAGGTTTTGAAACGACAAATAGGTACTTTCCGTCATGTTCTGTTACTGATTTCTGTTATTAATAGTAAAAAGACTAAAATGCCCTTCAAAGTTTCAATTTTAGTTTTTTATAATTAAAAATATCTAAAAAACCCCTAAGTTTGCAATTAATTAAACCCCCATATATAAAAAGTTTGTTAAATAAAAAAAACACCAGTGCCAGATTCGGCCACCATCGCCGGAATTGGCGGAAAACTACATACGACACAGACATCGGGTCTGTGTCGTAACGTGCCGATCTGGCCTTTTCCGGTCAGATCCGCCACGGATTTGGCCGGAAAAGGCAAGATCTGGCCGTCGAAGCAACAGCCAGATCTGGCCTTTTCCGCCGATCCGGGCTGATCTGGCCTGAAGGGCCAGATACTGCCAGATCTAGCCGTCGACGCCCCAGATGGAGTTTTGCGGCGTCGGCGGTGGTGGCCGGAATCTGGCACTGCAGGGGGCGGGGGTGTTTTTGTTTTTATAAAATTTTATACATTGAGGTATTTAGTAAATTTGAACTTAGGGGGTTTTTAGAAATTTTAATTATAAAAAACCTAAAATTCAAACTTTTAAGGGCATTTTAGTCTTTTTACTATTAATAAACAGTAATAAACGAACCACTAACAGAACATGACAGAAGGTATCTATTGTCGTTTTAAAACCTTTTGGATATCAACTTATCGTTACGATAAATCTTGGGTACCGTAAGTCGTTCTCCCCTTGATGCAAAATAGAATAATTTATAAATAGTTGTTATTTCATGAAATTTGATGTCTTATGATATAATTCATTGTTATTGAAAACATAGCAGCCTAGTTTTGCATGCATTGGTTATTGACATTTACGTTTGACCAATCACTACGGCCATTTATTAAGGCCTGATAAGTGATATACTCATTAAATGCTACTAATTATTATATAATTAACCGATAAACAATCAATCCATGGACCCACTCCCATTCTTTAATATTCAACACACTACAAGTTTTATTTCCTAGACACGTCTTTTGAATTCATTAACCAACCAAAACATGCCACACAAGATTTGATTTATTAGAGGAATTGAAAGGATTATATAATGAGTAATTAAAATGGAGCACCAACCAAACTGTCACCTGTATGTAATATCTATTTAGCTACAATTTTTTTTTTGGTAATTGAGGTGTTGAATTGTTATGTGAACTTCAACTAATTTTTAGGTTTCATTAAAACACCTTACAAATTCAAAATGCAGTGAATTTCTCTACATAAATAGATACATGTTTTTGCATTAACATATATCCTACTTTTTCAAATAAAAGGATGAAATAGCATTCTGATCGCAAATAAAGGAAAAAAATAAAAGAAATAAATACAACCGCCAACCAACAGGTGATTGTGAAGGGTGGTCAGGTAATCTGGTTTAAGTTTATCCAGAAAGGTAGGAATAGGACCTTATAAATATTTTACATCAAAATAAGATGAAGATGAAGATCCCACCAACCATAACTCTGCAACCTTCATCAAATTAATTGTATATGAATCGGTTGGTCATATTATTATCCATATAATATATAAATTGACATTTAAATAATGAACATCCTAAATGTTCAAATCTCAGAAGCGCATGATATTAGTTTTGATAGAATTCTAGGTAGATTCTGACGGTTATCACCACAAATATAGTATAAGGGATGGAAGAGAGAAGAAAAGGAAGCATAAATGAAGGGAAGGAGAGGTGGTTTGAAAGCATTTAAACAGAAGAGAACGGGTGGAGAGACGAAGAAAGCAAGGTGTGGTTCAATACTCGTCTTTGATTCAGCATTAAGTGAATTGAAGATGAGTTAATGAAGGCAGGTAGAACTACTTACTTGAATTTCCTTTTCTCTCTCAATGCTTTAATGGCTTTACTCCCTTTTTAGTCTTCTTTCTAACTGCTTACCCATTATTTTCTACCTTACAAAAATACCCTTGCTTGGAAACCAACTTAATTTCTTTACTGTTTTCTTATGTAATTTCATGTAGCTGCTTAGTCTATTTAGGGTCCCTCTCCATTTATATGGGGTGGGGAAATAGCAAACGACAGCGTTCCTCCATCTCTAGATCTTTTCTCAAAAATAGATTTTTTTCATGAAATCTTCTGAGTTACATGTACATAAACTTGATATATATCTAACATTTTCAAGTAATATTATAATGGAAGCTTACATAATTAGATGATTCAGGGGTCCACTAAGTTGATGTGGGTATTTTGGGAAATGAAGTGCAATTTACAAATAAAAATAAAGAGAAAATACATGGGGGAAAGGGCTGAGACAGAGAGAGTAATAATAGAGGGGATGAGGATAACATTAGTTGTTTTCATAGCTGAAGGGTGTTGAGAGCTTTAAGGCTTGAGTAATAGGTGTGATTAATTGATATAGCTCATGGGATGGATGTGGGTTATTGCATGTATGTAGCTGAGGGCGGGGGGTGTTGAGCCTTAAAAGTTCTGTAATAAGTGTTTTTTTGGAGTGACCCAATTGTGGAAGTTGAATTTATTATTGATAAAGATCGTATAGGCAATCAAGTCCTTCAACCGTATAAACACTCCCAACATTTATTGATCTTAAACACCTCTCCCTCTCCTCTCCTCAGCAATCACCGCCTCTATTAACTACTAAACTACTACCATGTTTGGCTTTGGCTTTGGCTTTGGCTTTGGCTTACCTCATAATTTTCTTGAGTTGAGTTTTGTATAATATATAGATCAATTTGTTTGTGTTAATTTGACCAAATAGTGAGCGGTTAAGATTTCACATCTAAGCTTTTAAGAGAGCCGCTTCGAATTTTGTTGTCTAATTAAATCCGCCAGCTACTTGGAATGCACGTCATGCCTATGTACTAGTCCCTTGGTTAAATTTAGTTCTATACCTTCAATGTAATTTCCTACTGTTGTTATGTGTGCCACACACAAAACTCAGCCTATATAACCAACCCAAACAATTCACCATTTCCTCACAGCCAGAGAGAAAGTAAAATTCTCATCTTCTTCATCATATCCCAAATTTAACAACTATGGTTTCTTTCCAAGCACCTATGTTTTCAGATAGTAGATCAAATCCAACACTGAGTTTGATCATTTCTCAAAGCGGAAGAGGGAAGACGTCTTAGAAGGTGAAGAAACTTCAACAAGCGATCAAAACCAATTGTATATGGATCTACACCTCGAGAATCCATTACGGCGGAGTGGGAACGATGCTTGGATATTCAGGTATATATCAACCTTGATTATGTATATCTATATTACTTAAAGAAGTATGATCAGCTGGCTGCAGCCTAAGCTATAGACATAGCATCATAAATTAATCATTTTGATCTCTGTATGAGTCAGGTCAGATACACTTTTATAATACAAGAACACATAGAGGACATCTGGGGATCAAGGAGAAGCCCTGAGTTGCCAAGTCCCGGTGGTGTATCATGAGCTTAGACCTTGAGCTAAACCTACTTGCAATTCGAACAACAAATTGACAAGGCATAATTCTGGCAGCCCTCACGGGATGCCTTGGGGAAATCTTTCCATTGATATAGCAGAGAAAAGAAGAATCGTAATAATCTCATATCTTAAAAGAAAACATATAAATTGGTAGAACCCAAGATTTTTTCGTTATAGAATGGACATTAGAAGTACGAAAATTTTAAACTTTAAAGATTGATAGTAATTTCATGTCCAAGAAAAAGTTAAACAATATTTAAATACATATAGAGATGATAATAAAATTGAAATGCTATAAAAGAAAATTAAAAAAGAAAAAAAAAAGGCAACGAAATTAAGTTTTTTAATAGAGGCACAACTTAGTAAGACTAAATACAAAGGGTGATAAATAATTAAGTTTCAAATTTTAGGGGGGGGCACGGAAGTACATATTTATACGTACACTCATACAGTACTACTATGTACTGTTCCATAAGTTTAGGATCAAAAAATCAGACATTAAAATCTGAGGACTGAATTAACTTTCAGCAAACTTCAAAGGCTTTAACTACTATCCCATAAGTTTTGGATCAAAACATCACATTTAAAAATATGAGGACTGAGCTGATTTTCACTAAACTTCAAAGTTTTTAACTTAGGTAGAATAGTTGAACAGGTGTTTTTTTAAAAATAATCTTCGTGGGTTGGATCGTTTGGTAAGTGGTAGCTATAAGCCTATAACATGCGGCCAGCGTTTTGGTTTGATTAGGATTTGGATTCTGTCGTTTATTGTTTATCTACTGAATATTACAATAAAAGCATAATTGAAATATATACTCTCGACGTTGACTGGTAGAACGATTATTGGTGCTGTGCTAAGCTAAGATCCAAAAATTAGATAGAGTTAAATAATTATTATTGGTAGTTGGATTAGGAAGGAATATTGAAGGAGAAATATATAAATAAAAATTTTTGATGCTGTTAAAACTTAAAAGTCAAATCCGGTATTCGGTCGTTTTCAGCACTCATTTTGTAATTGAATGAGTAGTAGTGACAGCGTTGACATAGTTGTCATTCTCTTATTTAAAGTCTTTGAATAAATGAAAAATCTTTAATTGTTGTTTGATACGTAATTACACGTAATAATTAGAGGATTTGGAGTGGTTATGGAAAAGTTGTGGGAATATCCTATTCCTACCCAACCTGGGTATGCTTTTAAATTAAATAATCTTATATATGGGCTTTGCCGTTTGCAAGTTTTAACACCATACCTTATAGGATGATTATTAATGATTTCTGAAATCTAGATCATCAATTGAGCTATACACTCCAGTTAGGATAATGGACTCCGAAAATATGCTTGTATTTTCTATAATGAACTTGATCCAAATCTCCATCTTGAATATACATGTAGTTAAAAGAAGAATCATAGTCACTCATCAAAGTCAATTTCAAGAACATAAGAGAAATACGATGATTGCTATATTTTTTCTCTTGCAAAAGCTAACACATTACTTGCTATGAATGGTCAACAATGAACAGGAGGTGTAACGACAATGGCGCCATTTCTGCAGAAATTTTTCCCATCAGTATTGAGGAAAATGGCAGAGGCTAAAACAAATATGTATTGTATGTATGACAGCCAGGTTTTAACTCTGTTTACATCATCACTCTACGTAGCAGGCTTAGCCTCGTCTCTTGTGGCTAGCCGCCTAACGGCAGCAATAGGCCGCCGAAACATAATGGTGCTTGGTGGCATCACTTTCCTTGCTGGTGCTGGCATCAATGGTGGGGCCGAAAATATAGTCATGCTCATCTTAGGCCGTATCTTGCTTGGATTTGGTGTTGGTTTCACTAATCAGGTGACATGACACTCTCATTTAACTCAGGCTATATCATATTAATTCAATTTGAAACGTGCTTAATTAAGAAACTTGTATGGTTTGTATAGTTTTTCTAACAGCATTAAAACGTTAAAATAGGCAACTCCTATATACCTCTCAGAGGTGGCACCTTCAAAATGGCGTGGCGCCTTCAATACAGGCTTCCAGTTTTTCATTGGCATTGGTGTGGTCGTATCCAATTGCATAAATTTTGGCACAGCTAAACTCAGCTGGGGCTGGCGCCTCTCACTGGGGCTTGCTGGGGTACCCGCTGCTGTCATGACAATAGGTGCCCTTTTCATAACTGACAGTCCCAGTAGCTTAGTGGAACGAGGCAAAGTCGAGAAAGCTAGGAGTTCTCTACAGAAAGTTCGAGGGAAAGACATCGATGTGGAAGCTGAGCTAGATGATATTATGAAGTCCAGTGAAATTGCCAAAGCTTCGGCTGACGAATCTTTCCTGACCATATTTGAGAGGAAGTACAGACCTCACCTAATTATGGCAATTGCCATACCGTCTTTTCAACAGCTGACTGGCATTAACATTATTGCATTCTATGCTCCGCAACTTTTCCAATCAGTTGGTTTTGGAAGTGATTCAGCTTTAATAGCATCTATCATACTGGGACTGGTTAATCTTGGCTCCATTCTTGTGTCTACGGGTGTGGTTGACCGCTATGGTCGAAGATCCTTGTTCCTGGTGGGCGGGGTTTTAATGTTTGTTTGTCAGGTACGCATCTAATTATCTCATCATAACTCTCAGTTTAGTATCATTTCTGCATTATAATTTCTAAGATACGTTGGGCCAAGAGAGATTAGGCCTCGGTCTAAGCCCAATAACTGGTTCAAGAAGAATGGGCCTAGATTAAGTAAAATGGGCAGAGGTTGATACATTATAATCTTTTAATTTGGTTTTTGTTGGCATTTATTGTGCAGATTGCTGTTTCTTTCGTGCTAGCGTATGCATCAGGTGTTGCAGGCAACAAGGAAATGAGCAGGGGATATGCCATATTAGTACTCGCACTAATGTGCGTCTATGCCGCTGGTTTTGGTTGGTCCTGGGGTCCTCTAGCCTGGCTCATTCCAAGTGAAATATTTCCGATCAAAATTAGAGCCACTGGTCAAAGCATAGCTGTTGCTATGAATTTCGCAATAACGTTTGTGCTATCACAGACATTCTTGACTATGCTATGCCACTTCAAATTCGGCACATTCTTGTTCTATGCTGGTTGGATTGGGATAATGACCTTATTTATTGCATTTTTCTTGCCTGAGACAAAGGGTATTCCACTGGATTCAATGTATGCTGTGTGGGAGAGGCATTGGTTTTGGCGCCGATTTGTTAAAGACTAAACCCCAACACCAACTCTACATCATCAACAGATATTATATAGTTCTCAATTCAATAAGTCTTAAAGAGTCAAAAATATATCTGTTTATAGTGGCTCTGACCTTTGTTCTTGTTTTCCCACTACATTATGTCTAGTGTCTACCAAGTACCTAAGATTTATGTAATTTCCATTAATGCTTCTATATTGTGATGTAAAAACACAATTTTGATATTTCTTCCAACAGTTGTCGTGTTTGACAGAATCTCCAGGATACAATTGAACTAGCTTTATATGTTAATGGTCTATCTACAGTTTATTGTTTCTCTGATAAAAATGATGCGAAATCAACGCAGCTTCAATTTTATTTGTTAATTGATGCAACATTACATATTTATCCACAATTCTTCAACCTCACACAAACATATTGGAAAAACTTGAGTTTATATATATATATATTTTTTGGTAATTGAGATGTCAGGATCAGCTTGCGCGTACCTCAACTTATCCTTTACAAACCCAAATGACTAAGTAAGTCATAAAGTGATAGATGACCTTAAGGTTTAAGCTTAAGATCTCAATAAAGAGAGTAAACCTTCTTGACCACTAAGTCAATCCCTTGGGGTTAACTCGAGTTTATATTTACATCAACGATTAACCAAGCAAAGGCCAACTATAGAATTGTAGAATGTTGAATTCCAAATTCCAACAACGATTAATGTGGGTTTCCTTTTTGAAATCAATCAATCAATATATATATATATACACACACATTAGGGTGTCAAGACTAATCCTCGAGGTCTATTGAATACCTTACAAATCTAAATGACCAAGTAAATTATAAAGTAGTTGGTGAAACCTAAGACCTCAATGAAGGAAGTAAACCTCCTTAACTACTAAGTCAATCCCTTGGGGTTAACTAGAGTTTATATTTACATCAGCATTAGCCAAGCGAAGGCAGACTAAAGAGTTGTAGAATGTTGAATTCTTATATTTACATCAGCATTAGCCAAGCGAAGGCAGACTAAAGAATTGTAGAATGTTGAATTCCAAATTCCAACAACGATTAATGTGGGTTTCCTCTCTGAAAATCAATTATGTGGAACACTTAAAAAGGACGGTTACCAAAACTAATTAATAATAGTGGAAGATGAAGGTGCCAAAGAATTTCATTTAATCCCAACCATACACACCTAACTTTTGGGTCGCTCTCTTTTTCCTACAGCATTCATAACCAAAGCTTTTGTTCCCCAATTTGTTAAATGTGAAAAATATGTTAATTTCACAAATTGTAGTCTCTTAAATGACAAAAATATCCTCTGTTATCTTGTTCATCCTCCTATAATTTTGCTGCATTTAACACATGATGTGGATTTGTTTGAGTGTTAGTAAATAAATCACAAGGCCTTGGAATTAAATGCTCTGTCGAATTAGCAATAAAAAGACTTTGTACTGTCGGGTTCTTAGCATACTCCAGCGACCAAATGAATTCTCTTTAATGGATTATTTTGATTTTACTGGAATGAATACCTAAGCATATGATACATATATTTATGTGGGTTCACATGATGAAAGTTGATTTTAGTAATAGTGGCAACCACAAAAAGCTAGGTGAAATATGAGATTGCTGACTGTCTTAAATGAATTGGGCATTTAAACCAAAAATACATTAATATGAAGCTTTGACTTTGACCTAAATACATTGCACTCATGGTAATTCTTTCTACCCATTAACAAATTCAGTTTCATTGAGTCCCCAGTCCGTTCATTTTAAAGAATGGATCGTTAATACAGTAATGTTAAAGCAAGTCGATGATATAAAGGATTGGTTAAGTGGTTAAGAAGGTTTGTTTCCTTTATTGACTTCCTAGGTTCAAACCATCTTGGAGCCATGTATCACAGTTGTGGTTTACTTGATTCATTGGACTTATAGAGTGTTTAATGAGCTATGAAGATTAGTTGAAATACATGTAAACTGATTTAAACACCCAAAATTCTCAATTTAAAAAAAAAAAAAAAAAAAAATTCAATGATAGAAATGTACAAGGAATAAATACTTGGTGAATTTGAGGACAAGTTTTGGCCCACTTTCAATCTCTAAAAGGTAGCCGCCCGAACGGACCAAATGGCTTGATGCAAGGCCGAACAACGTGCATACCCAAGATTTACCGTAACGATAAGTTGGTACCCAAAGGTTTTGAAACGACAAATAGGTACTTTCCGTCATGTTCTGTTACTGATTTCTGTTATTAATAGTAAAAAGACTAAAATGCCCTTCAAAGTTTCAATTTTAGTTTTTTATAATTAAAAATATCTAAAAAACCCCTAAGTTTGCAATTAATTAAACCCCCATATATAAAAAGTTTGTTAAATAAAAAAAACACCCAGTGCCAGATTCGGCCACCATCGCCGGAATTGGCGGAAAACTACATTACGACACAGACATCGGGTCTGTGTCGTAACGTGCCGATCTGGCCTTTTCCGGTCAGATCCGCCACGGATTTGGCCGGAAAAGGCAAGATCTGGCCGTCGAAGCAACAGCCAGATCTGGCCTTTTCCGGCCAGATCCGTGGCTGATCTGGCCTGAAGGGCCAGATACTGCCAGATCTAGCCGTCGACGCCCAGATGGAGTTTTGCGGCGTCGGCGGTGGTGGCCGGAATCTGGCACTGCAGGTGGCGGGGGTGTTTTTGTTTTTATAAAATTTTATACATTGAGGTATTTAGTAAATTTGAAACTTAGGGGGTTTTTAGAAATTTTTAAATTTAAAAAACCTAAAATTCAAACTTTTAAGGGCATTTTAGTCTTTTTACTATTAATAAACAGTAATAAACGAACCACTAACAGAACATGACAGAAGGTATCTATTTGTCGTTTTAAAACCTTTTGGATATCAACTTATCGTTACGATAAATCTTGGGTACCGTAAGTCGTTCTCCCCTTGATGCAAATAGAATAATTTATAAATAGTTGTTATTTCATGAAATTTGATGTCTTATGATATAATTCATTGTTATTGAAAACATAGCAGCCTAGTTTTGCATGCATTGGTTATTGACATTTACGTTTGACCAATCACTACGGCCATTTATTAAGGCCTGATAAGTGATATACTCATAATGCTACTAATTATTATATAATTAACCGATAAACAATCAATCCATGGACCCACTCCCATTCTTTAATATTCAACACACTACAAGTTTTATTTCCTAGACACGTCTTTTGAATTCATTAACCAACCAAACCATCCCACACAAGATTTGATTTATTAGAGGAATTGAAAGGATTATATAATGAGTAATTAAAATGGAGCACCAACCAAACTGTCACCTGTATGTAATATCTATTTAGCTACAATTTTTTTTTGGTAATTGAGGTGTTGAATTAGTTATGTGAACTTCAACTAATTTTTAGGTTCATTAAACACCTACAAATTCAAATGCAGTGAATTTTCTACATATAATAGATTACATGTTTTTGCATTAACAATATCCTACTTTTTCAAATAAAAGTATGAAATAGCATTCTGATCGCAAATAAAGGAAAAAAATAAAAGTAAATAAATACAACCGCCAACCAACAGTGATTGTGAAGGGTGGTCAGGTAATCTGGTTTAAGTTTATCCAGAAAGGTAGGAATAGGACCCCCTTATAAATATTTTACATCAAATAAGATGAAGATGAAGATCCACCAACATAACTCTGCAACCTTCATCAAATTAATTGTATATGAATCGGTTGGTCATATTATTATCCATATAATATATAAATTGACATTTAAATAATGAACATCCTAATGTTCAAATCTCAGAAGCGCATGATATTTAGTTTTGATAGAATTCTAGGTAGATTCTGACGGTTACTCACCACAAATATAGATAAGGGATGGAAGAGAGAAGAAAAGGAAGCATAAATGAAGGGAAGGAGAGGTGGTTTGAAAGCATTTAAACAGAAGAGAAGCGGGTGGAGAGACGAAGAAAGCAAGGTGTGGTTCAATACTCGTCTTTGATTCAGCATTAAGTGAATTGAAGATGAGTTAATGAAGGCAGGTAGACTACTTACTTGAATTTCCTTTTCTCTCTCAATGCTTTAATGGCTTTACTCCCTTTTTAGTCTTCTTTTTCTAACTGGCTTACCCATTATTTTCTACCTTACAAAATACCCTTGCTTGGAAACCAACTTAATTTCTTTCACTGTTTTCTTATGTTAATTTCATGTAGCTGCTTAGTCTATTTAGGGTCCCTCTCCATTTATATGTGGTGGGAAATTAGCAAACGACAGCGTTCCTCCATCTCTAGATCTTTTCTCAAAAATAGATTTTTTTCTATGAAATCTTCTGAGTTACATGTACATAAACTTGATATATATCTAACATTTTCAAGTAATATTATAATGGAAGCTTACATAATTAGATGATTCAGGGTCCACTAAGTTGATGTGGGTATTTTGGGAAATGAAGTGCAATTTACAAATAAAAATAAAGAGAAAATACATGGGGGAAAGGGCTGAGACAGAGAGAGTAATAATTAGAGGGGATGAGGCATAACATTAGTTGTTTTCATAGCTGAAGGGTGTTGAGAGCTTTAAGGCTTGAGTAATAGGTGTGATTAATTGATATAGCTCATGGGATGGATGTGGGTTATTGCATGTATGTAGCTGAGGGCGGGGGTGTTGAGCCTAAAAGTTCTGTAATAAGTGTTTTTTTTTGGAGTGACCCAATTGTGGAAGTTGAATTTATTATCTGATAAAGATCGTATAGGCAATCAAGTCCTTCAACCGTATAAACACTCCCAACATTTATTGATCTTAAACACACCTCTCCCTCTCCTCTCCTCAGCAATCACCGCCTCTATTAACTACTAAACTACTACCATGTTTGGCTTTGGCTTTGGCTTTGGCTTTGGCTTACCTCATAATTTCTTGAGTTGAGTTTTGTTATAATATATAGATCAATTTGTTTGTGTTTAATTTGACCAAATAGTGAGCTGGTTAAGATTTCACATCTAAGCTTTTAAGAGAGCCGCTTCGAATTTTGTTGTCTAATTAAATCCGCCAGCCTACTTGGAATGCACGTCATGCCTATGTACTAGTCCCTTGGTTAAATTTAGTTCTATACCTTCAATGTAATTTCCTACTGTTGTTATGTGTGCCACACACAAAACTCAGCCTATATAACCAACCCAAACAATTCACCATTTCCTCACAGCCAGAGAGAAAGTAAAATTCTCATCTTCTTCATCATATCCCAAATTTAACAACTATGGTTTCTTTCCAAGCACCTATGTTTTCAGATAGTAGATC